AGAAACTCCAACCCTCTTGTTAGTCTATCTGGTGTTAGTGATACTCCTTCTGTGCTTATGCATGGCAAACAGCATTCCCGGCTCTCTCCTTTCCATCTTCGTTGCCTAATGACCAGTTTCTCAATCCAAATAACCATTTTCTTCAAACAACATCAACCCTTCTCCTTATCAGTTTCGAAGGGGTTGTGCTGGTTGTTTTATCCAGCCAGCTTGCTTCAGGCAGGTGTTGTTCTTACACGGTATCACAAGGCACTGGTTGCCTGCAACTCCAGCATAAACAAACTTGTTGGTGCACCAGCTTTCGCCACTGGCTGTGGTACAGAAATCAGAAGTTTAAGTGTAAACAGGGATCAAACTCCTACAGGAAAATGGGCCTTGCATTTGCTTCCCAAGTTGTACTGGTCCTCAAGAACTGGAACTAACATGAATCTTACAGCAACCACTTCCTAAACAGACTCATCTGTAAACATGCAAGTTTGCCTTCATCTCAAAGTGATGTTTGTGAGGAGTCATGAAAGGTACAGGACTGCTGATGGCAAACAGCAAGCAGAAAAAGCTTCAGTAGTTGCAGGGTCTCCTACAGTCATACCTGTGAATGCAGCTATGGGATTTCACCCATTGCCTGGTAGGAGCACTGAGAGAGGCTCACACCCATTTTACAAGGCTTCTCTATAGGGGCAATGAGTTCACAGCTGAACAAGTTCTGGGCTATATGTTTTTAAATCTGAATGACAGAATATAAGACAAAATATACTAAGTATGGTCTCAGTGTGGTTTTCAAAGAGATTTTGTATACCACCAAATTAAGAACCTAACATGTCAACTGTCTACTCCCACCCATTCTGGAAGTCAAGACATTTATTAAAAAGAGGAGCACTGTGTGACTGCTTCTCATCCCAGACAGTAAGGAGGAAGCACACTCCTCTCCTCAGTGATCAAGTAGAGAGCAGAACTTTTTCATCAGCATTATTCAAAAATCCAGTCTATTTTCTATAAGAAATTAAGGCTTACACAATGTCACTTTCAAAACATAATTTAAAAAAGGGTTAAGCTTCTCAAACCAGGCAATTCATATGGAAATAGTTACATGGGCTCCTCTAATTCCTTTTTGGAACTAAACAGACATGTATTTATTATATATTGTAATTTAAAATAACCCCACAAATGCAACAAACCAAACCAAACCAAATCCCCCCCCCCAAACCAACAACCCCTCCCCAAACCTACGAATAAGAAACACACTTTTCAGAAGCAAACCTCTTCTCATTTTATCTCCTTCTACAAAAGTATTTCAGCCTCAATTTTTTTCAGTCCTGCCCCCAGTCTCCTTCCTCTCACCCATGCCTTCTTTTCAAACAAAATGAATCTGTCCCTGTGTCTATCCTCTGGAACAGGATTAAAGTTTCACACTGAGCCTGTCACTGGTTCATAGTAGCAGATGATCTGTTTGAAAGCTGTTCATTCAGCTTCTGCTCTGGGCAAGACAAATTTGCTATGGAGTTTTCTTCAACCCACTACCTCCTATAGTTTACAGGTAAAACAAAGCTGGATGAAACCTGTCCTCAGCACTCAGTGCAGCTCCCAGGAACTACCTTTTCTACAATACTTGCTAAAAGCATCCTCTTCAATGCATGTCCTATGTTGACATCACATTTCCTGAATTCTTCAGATCTTCTTTTTTGAGGGTGGGAAACAAGAACATAACCATATATTCACTCATCCCCCAACTCAGACAAAGGTGTTAAAAAGGGTAATAGAAAATCAGAATTCCATCCCTTACCAAATGTTTTAATAGGTCCAGTGCTTTTTTAAAAAATAATTTTAAAGGCTTTTCCCACTGCTTTTTGCTAAGATCACTTGCTCTGCAGATTTTCAGCTTCTGTATTAAACTGGTCCTGAAAGACTGGCGTAGACTCTCTGCCAACCCAACGCACAACCGCCACACACTAACAACAGAATCGCTTCAGTGGTATCAGGTTCATTTAATTCATTTAATAACATGTTCTGCTGGAAGCTATGTTACAGCCATCAGATCCAGAATATTGTTTCAAAACGGAATCTCTGTTGCCTGCATTTTAGTAATCCTCTTGTATTCCATATCCAGCAGTTTTACTGTCTCAATCTTCCCTCAATGGCAGCTGGCTTTAAGTAGAGGCTCTTTATGACAAAGGCCAGCCACATGCATGAGTCATGCCACTGCAGCATGACTGACATGGACAATTGATTTGTCCCAAATCAATTACTTTGTAATAAAAAAAAGACATTTGGAAAATAAAAGCGTAAGCAAGATAAGATCAAAAAGGTATTACCTTATTCAGGACCATCTCTGTCAGTGTTTTGATCAAACCCAGTAGATGTGAAAAGGGCATGACAGGACAGCCTCCAGGCATCTGCTGCTTCTCAGAAATACCAGCACACTCCAATTTCTCTCTCTAGTCTCATGTGTTGACAACTCAAGAACTGGGGAATTTTCAGACAGTAAGTTCCTTAAGTGATGGATACTGATAAAATCGGAGGTTTTTCTATAAGTTGAACTGCAGACCCACCACTTTGCATTCAGGTAGTAATTGGTGTCATTGCAACATTGCAATGTAAAGGAACTCCTCCTTCCTCAGAGCTCTATGTTCGTCACTTAGTATTTTTGATTCACTGGAAAAAAAGGTCTGTTAGATATAAGTGATCCACTCCTGCATATTTCTTCTCTAAATTACTGAGCATAACTGTTCACTAGTCTTGCAAGAACCATTTTAAGCTTGAACTTCTGAGGTTTCCTGCTTTGAAGATCACTTTAATAACACTGAAGTGTTGTTTTTCACCATGCAGCATCCCTTCTTCAGAGGAAAGGCTGAATTAAAGATCAGGCCGCTGCTTCCTCAGGAAATTGCTCTGCCCTGTCCCCTTGAGCCTCCAACGTCTGTAAGTAGCCAGTATGTGTCTGCCCTCCCCACATTTCCCCTCTGCTGCAATTGTCTGCCTGGGGCTATGTGCTGCCAGGACAGGGAGCCCAAACAGTGGCTCTCCATGTCTCTTCTCCCTTGGGTGCCACTGGTGGGAATGCACCCCTTCCCAAGGGCACTGGTGAGGAGCTAGGGTCTTCCTGTAGGTGTCCTCCCCCAGCTCACCTTTAGGTTTGTATGGCAGGCACTGCCAGCTGAGCTGTCATCTCGGGGCTTTTCAATTGCTGCAGCTCTCCATTTCCCAGTTGACAACCCCACCCCAGCACACATGCGTTGACAAAGGCACCACTTGTTCCAGCAGCCAGAAGACCCCCTTAGGGCTCTCTCCCCACCACCTTTTCCCCTACAGCAGGCTGACCCCAACAGTCAATGCTGAACCAGCCCTTGGCTCACAGGCCCTCCCTCAGAGGCAGATGCCCCACTGGACCCCAGCCCTGCTGCCCCCTCTGCCACATTCTGAGCAAGGATGGCAAGCCATGCCTTTAGCACCTTGAGACAACTCCAAATATGCAAAGATGGATTTCCAAGGCCATCGAGCTCTATTTCCACCCTACTCTGAGTCTTCAGCAAGACTGATGAGCCTCATGCTGGTCCACAGGAGTCACCCTCACCTGAAGCAGGCCAGGTCAGTTCAGAGGGTTCAGAGGGTACTTCTTCTTCCCAGTCATGTTTGAGAAAGGAGCCCAACTTCACTGTTAACTCTGGTTCTTTGATTTGCTTACACAGCAACGAATTTAAACCTGCACTATTTTACTTACCTCAAGCAGGTAAGTAAAGTCTCATTGCACTAAGGCACAAAAAGAGGCAAGCAGAAGTAAACAGCTCAGTGTTGTTTAACATGCATGAAGTTAAATAAAAAGGCAGTGGACTTACTATGCAGGGGGATACTAATGCAGTAGCTGCAGAGACTGAATTCCCCCAATGCCTTTACAATGTAATGCCTGTTGCAGCCAAACAAGCTTCCCACAGCCACCCCAAGTATGCCCTCTGTGATTAAAATGCTACAACAAGCCTGGCTGTTGGTTTGGCCACTGCCTTTCCGCTGAGACCACCAGCAAGAAAGCAAATGGGTTTTGGTACATTGCTATGAACAGCACAGGCAAAATAGAGGAAGAAAAAAAACCCAGACTGCAGCCTATCCTTGAAAGTTATGCAAGAAGAGAGGTACATGATGAGCTTTTCCCACAGCAAAGTTTCCAGCTACGATTGCAAAACCTCAGCAATCACTCAGAGACTCTTTCATGAGGTCTCCTAGGGTCACTATTCACCTCAAAAATCAGCAGAAAGGTGGCACAGCAAGGATTCTACTGTATTGCTACAACTGGTTGGCAGAATTGTCTGGGGAAAGCCAGAATGTTGCAGCCATCACTCCCAGAACTGTCTGAATTTACAGATTGGTAAGCCATTAGGATCCATTTTGTTAGATTGAAGAAGATATCCTCTGGTAACTGTAGCCTTGTAAAGGCCATGTGTCTTGTCTAGACTAGTCACCTTGTTTCTATCTACAGAGAGATAAACACTTTCAGAGGATCTTTCAGTCATATTAACACAGCAATCTATTCCAGAAGAATTCTCTCTCTTAGGGCACCCCTCTCTTTCCATTGAGTTTGTCAACTTAGATTAAGGGACTACACTTTTCATACGTAATGTCATGTGAGACAAGTCCCTCTCCTCAGTGAAGATTTGTTATCGAGTTCCTTTTACCATGTAGACCTTTTCCTCAATCTTATCACCTTGTCATTTAATATTACTTTCATACAGATTGCTTTTGTAGGCTCTAATATATCAAGACTAGTTTCTAACAGCCATTTAGCAACCTGAAATGAAATTATTTTAAGAACTCTTGAGATGAATTGCTTTACAGTCTTTATGACATTCATTCAAGGTTCATAATCTTTGTTGCCTCTTGCAATAATTTAAGAGACAAACCACTGCTGGGAACAGTATGTGTCCCTCCAACCCCACCAGCCAACAAAAATTTGCAGAGTTCAAGAGAAATCTCAGAGAATGGAAGAGGAAAAAAAACTCACAAAGAGCAATCACTACAGATATTGAGATTTATTGCTGATTTTCCCTTTCTGCAAAGCTGTCAAACTGCTGCAGTTCCAGAAGGGGATTATCTCCAGAAGCCCCTTGGCCTCAGTCCCTGTGCCAGTTCAGACGACGTGACCAGAGACCTGTGTGTGGCAGCTTGCTGCTTACAGAACAGTTGGAGACAAAATCCGTCCTTCCGGATCCTGAATTTATGGCAGGATCTGGGCTCTGACATTGCTTGGTATGACCTGCTGTCAGCTTCCAACAAAAAAAACTGGGGGCATCCAGTGTGGAATGTTGCTTTTCCTGAGTTTAGTTCCCTGTGCAAGAAGCTGCCACTGAGAGGTTCTCACACAGAGCCATCAGCATGAGACAGTGCATTTTTTTCCTTTACCACATCAATCTGATATAGTTTGTCTTGTGCTTTGAGGCAAAGGCTCCTTATCATCTTGCCAACTATGCAGCCTCCTTACCAGCACTATTAATAGCATAGCTTTTCTTTCTTAATGAAAAAACAATAGATCTCTTTCCTCATGTTTGGTTGCACTTCTTCATTCCTGCTGCCGCAATTTTTTTCATCATAGTGTCTCTAGGCTGCAAGTCAGCTCTTTTCCAGCTGGTGAAATCTGGTTCCTCTTTATGTGCCTGTCCTTTCAGTGTAAACAAGCAATGCTTCTCCAACTCCACTGATTACAAGGCTGTAAACAAAGTAAACCACAAATTTAGCATCAGGCAAGTCCCTCTACTTGATACAACAAAGGTATTGTTTTACCTAAACACATTTCAACCTAGAGACAGTAACCCAGGTGATTTTTTTCACTTGTCTTGCTAAGAAAATGCTGAAACCCAAAATGTCTTATTAACTGATCGCATCAGAAACAACCTTTCCTATATTTTAGTGCTGATGGTATTCAGTGAAAATGCATAGACAGAAATCTAAATAGAGAAGGTTGCCCCTAGTTACAAGAATAGCTCCACACTAGCAAGAATAGGAAAGGAAGGCAAGGGAGTTTGAACCTCATTAGTTTAATGATTCTCTCTTTCTGTTTGTGTTCTGTCCTGAAAATTTGCCACTTTATAATGTCAGGGGAGATGTAAAGCCTAGGTTTTGGGGACTAAGGAAATTTGGGAAAAACACTTTTGCTCTGGTGTGATCCCATTGGCACAGTGAGACCAGCAGAAATGCTTGTGTTTGCCTCTCTCTGTGCAGAACACGGTGAAAGAACCTGCACCATCCAAAATGGCACACATGTCCAAGCGCTTCCTGTGCTGCTCACAGCGTAGTGGAGGCAATAACACCTCCCTCCAAGACTCAGGCTAGAAGCAGGATGAATGGTTTTACAAAAACCTTCACTGAAATATACTATCAACCCACTCAATCCATTCAATAGTTAATAATCCCCAAATATCCTCTCTCTGCTATTTATCATAGCTGACAAGAATATGGTAGGATGCCGACTCTTCCCCCCTTTTATAACAGTGCAAAGCTAAGTGTACTGACCTTTCATCTTGGCCTCATGGCTTAATTAGCTTATGAAACAGAAAAGCTCCTTAATGAACTTTATAAACAAAACAAACTCCTGTTAAGTTCATTTGTAAGAGGGCTTTTTTTTTTCCTTGGGAAGATAAAAAAAAGGCATGTAAAGCTGAAGGCTCTTTGGTCTAATAGTATTACATTCACTTAAATCGTAGCTTTAGTGAGCTGTTTTAAAAAACACATAATTGCCCTTGTTCCTGAGAGGGAAAAAATATTGTATAACAACAGCACAGTATCTTACAATTACACAGTAAACAGCCCTGGAAAGTAGGTGCTACAGACAGTCTGTAGACAGTCCACTGGGGAGACTACCTTTGGTGTGGAATTACCAGCAAGGAGCAAAGGGCTGAGAGGGCTGCAAGTTTTTCGAAAAGATCTAAACCACCTGAGTCTGGTTGGCTGCGACCACTAACAACCTCCGAGTGCTTTCCTTTGGAGAGGGTTAACCCCACTGTCTTGCCTGGATTTCATCTCCAGTTATAAACATACACTCTGCATTAATTTCTTTGGAAACTAAGGTTGGATAATGTATTCTTTATCCTGAAGAAAAAAAAACCCAAACCAAAACACTTCCTGTAGAAGACCTAAAATCAACAGAGACTTAGAAATTTTTTTTCCTCATTTCCACAGAGTAATTTTCCAAATTTTTAACAGAGACTTTAAAAAACCAACCTAACTTTGACATACCATCCTAAAAATTAGACTGGCAATTCTGTACAAAAGATAGTAAACTGCTCAGCCCCACTCTGTAAAAAGATGCCTGCATCTAAACTGTTCTTTAATATCATACATCCTACATAAGAGAAGAAGAATCCAGATTACTAGGCCACTAGAAACCATTGTTATATCTTCAAGATAAAGCAGAGCAAAAACCACGGCTAAATGCCAACCCTTGATTTACCTTCAATTTACCATCTGGCAAATCCTTCAGCTTCTGTTTATAGTGGGGTGACAGCTAACTGCATTTGCCTGTCATTCAAAAATTAACATATGATATTGTCCATGACAACACTGAACCAACACTAAAATCCTCAGTGATTAATGATCTCATGAGTGTTTTGCAGCTGCTATCATCTAACAAACTATTCCCAAAGTTTTGCTGATAAACCAGGACACTGCCGATGCACAAGCAATATGAGAATTCAAATTAAAAAAATAAATAAAAGAAATGGTTTTCTGTTTGAATTATGACAATCAAAGTGTAACAGGGCTAAAGCAAAGTTTCTCTTAAACATACAGAAGTGTCATCATTTATATAACTTGAAGTACATACAGGGCATGTGGTATGTGTGCAACTATATGGGTCTACATGCTCACATTAACAAAGGTACACATTATTTTTTAGTATACGTATCAGTGAATACATATATTTAATCCAAGCCTACCTCTAGCACGCACATGATAGACCTGCACAAACACATGTAAAACATGGTGAAGAGCAGCAAGTTAATGGCCTAGACTAGGAGTGTTGTGGGTACATTGATAGTAGTTTAGTCTCTTACACACAGATCACGTGTATTCCTAGCACTAAAAAAACCACACAACTTATTTCAGCACTCGAGATTACATGTGCCTAAAATACACACAGGAATGCATATTCACACACAGGTAAATGGGGCTGGTTTGCACCGAGATTCTTCTTTCTGTAACAATTTTATCACACCTGAAAAAAGAATATGCTAATTCCACTCAGTGCAGAGCTTAGTCTTTAGGATGGCAATCAAACTGTAAGGTACAAAAAGGAAGACTAAAGCTTTTCAAAAGTAAGCAGATTTTTATTTCCATTCACAAAGCCATCCTCATGCCTAATCCCAAACTGAGATGTTATTTGCACGGCAGAAGCACCGAGGAGCATCAGCCATGGTCTGTGATTCCCTTTCACTGTGTGCTATACAAACACAGATCAAAAACACTGCCTTTGACCAAAGCAGTTTGCACCACAATCCTTTATATTACTACCTAAAAAAATTCAGGTTAGGTGATTCATAACGTGTGGCCACACATTTCAAAATCCAGATACAGCTTTGGAAAAAGTTTATCATCATTACCTTCTACTGTTTTCATTTTATGCATTCACAGTACACAGTGTGTTAGGGAAACTTTAATGCACCCTTTTGGTTAAAACGATGTCAGCAAACCTCGGCTCCAGTGTTTTATTTCCAATTCTGCCACTAAATTGTAGCATGACTTTGATGGGTCATTTATTTGCCTATTGCATCTATTTGCCTAGCGGTAAAACATGCTGAGTGAATTGTGGCAAGGCTTAACATCCAAAATGTCCATGTTCTCCCACAGAGGCAGAAGAAACACTCTTCTATTACTGTACTGCATCCATCACTGCACACCTGGTTCTCCTTACATGCAAAATAATACTGGCAGCAATAGAATTTGACATTTAAAAGTATTTCCACACAAAGCACTGCATGGAAATTCATTTTTACTGTTAAGAAAAAAGCTCGTGTAGGCACTTACCAAGAAATTGTTAGTACATTGGCGGTCATGGCAAAGAAGAATGGTGATAAGCTAGTAGTGATAACCTGTTAAATTGAAAAAAAAAAACCAAAAACCAAAAAATCACTTTGTGAACTTGTACTATCAAAAATGAAAACTAGAATACTTTTGCTGAAATTTAATTTCTGTGTATGCAGTCATATTTTTTCCTTTTATTTTTTCTTTTGTTTTCTTAAACAGTAGACGCAGTACCTAAAAGAGAGAGTCAATGTGCAGGAGAAAGCAAATGGGTCTAGGATAAAGAGCGAGGCATCTTGCCCAACCTTCTTCCCAGTGTAAGTAGAGAGACCACATACAGGCACCTCCTTTCCCCCTCAGCCAGTGGGAGGCAGGTCAGAAAGAGCAGAAAAGGACCCAGCAGACAGGGACACAAGAGCTGCACAGCTAGCTTAGGGCAGGAACCTGATTGTGGGGTATTGCTGAGAAAATGCAGGCAAAACGTGCTGCAAAACATCAGGCTGGGAAACCAGTGGAGAAAACAGTATGATGGTCACACATCACAGTTCAATTCTGACTCCTAAAGAACCTAGGACACAGCAGAAGGAGGGCAGGGAACCAGAGCAGGGTTCCATCCCACCTGGCCTGGCCTAGAAGCTTGCTGGCTTTGTTGCTCTGTTGCCAACAACAGACTGGGGAGAGCAGTCAGATCCCATGTTTGGAAAGCCTTGCATTTCTGAGGAGAATGAGAGCTTAAAATGTGTTTATGGGTGTATTAAAAAAAAAAAAAATTATCAGGGTATAGGGTAAAGAAAAAACCCACAACTTCGGTAGGTTTATATCACAAATCTCTCATTACCACAAGGTGTCCTGGACAGAGAAGCTGTAAAGAAATGATTTTATACTTTCCTAGTACTGATCCCAGAAACAGCTAGATCTTGACATACAGATCCCTGCCTCAGCAGCTATAGAGCTACCACATCTGCAGCCTGCGTGCAGTTTTGGACATTTTGTTGCCAGATGGATAATGTAAAATGGAAAGAGTTCAAAGAACAGTGACAGAGTCATTAGATGGGGGGATTGATTTTCAGTCAACAGTTAGGATAAGCAATGCCTGTGGGAAAGGAAGACTTGGTAGTGGTTTACAAATACTTGGAAAACACAAGTACTGAGGAATGAAAGGAACTATTTGGGATAATACAAAATTGCCCAAGGAAAAAGATGAAATTAAGAAACAAAACATTTAAACAATTATCAGCTAAGATTTCCTAATCGTTGTTTGCCTAGTTGACTCCCAGGGGAGACAGTAGAAACTTCATTCCATAATCTATTACTTATTAAAACACTACTATGTGTGCATTAGGGAAGCAAACACCATTTCATAGTGGATTCTGTGCACCAGAGCTTGGAATAACAGTGTATCAGTCAATACCTACTACATTTGTTACAGCCACATTTTTAAAAGTCAGGTTCTGAATCTGCCTGGAATATAATCAGTGCAGGATCACAAGCAGCAGCGGCAGATGAAGAAGAGGTGGTTGTATGTCACTTCTCCAGCCCCACTCTAAGAGTTAGCTGGAGAGGGGACAATAATCTAAAGCTAGCAGTAAGACCATGCAACGGCAGTATGCGCCACTCAGGAGCGATGGTGCCCAATGGGGACTACACAATGAATACCTCCTCTGGCCTATTTGGGGATGTTTCCTACTTTAGGAAGAGTCAGGCATATAGATGGCTTTTCTCCTTCCTAGACATTACCATAAATCACACCCTGATTGTTCTCCATTTGCCTATAGATCAGGCACCTGACAAAGGAAATGAAGCAGGAGATGGACTTGATCCAGGCAGGATACCACAAGACTGCAGACCCACTCCATTCCTGCACAAACGCAAAATTGCTGGTATCAATACAATCACAGACATACCTCCTGATACTAATTTCATCTGACTTAAGTATTTTCACACTGCCAACTGCAGTAGTGTATAACACGGGCAATGATGTAAAGCTTAAAGCCAACAGAAAAAGCGAGCCCCTATTCCAAGGGAAAATCAGAGATGTGTATCAGCTCTACTCCTACACTCTTTTATGTACACATACAAGCAAACATACAACTAAATATATGTACCAAAAAGAGACTGACAAAGAACAAGTCATAAACATAGAATTATTCTTCAAAACTCAAGCAGATCATATTGCCACTGTGCACATGCATAGTCATTTGCAGCCAGAGAGAGCTGACACCTACTCAAAACAGTAGAATTTAACCATTCAGAAGCTGAATCTTTCCTGTACTTTACCTAAATACAGCTCTGAGGCTAGATATCCATCAGTTCAAATGCAGCGCTCTAAAATATATTCACATCTTGTTATAGCAGGCTGGATTCTCTCCTTACACACAGTGCAGCAGATGTATTGACTTACAAGGAACTATTTCTCATTTACATGAGTGTGAATGCTTGTAGAATTAACTGTACTGAGTTTATTTTAGGTTAACGCTAATTCATTACATAAAAATATACAATACTAATTACTGAGCATGTAAACAGAAATGAACAAAGTATGGCAGCTGTGGTATCTACAGAGCATTCTTTTCTTTAAGCTCTTCTCCCAAAAGAAACTGAAGAGCTGTACTTGAGAAGTGGCACAACTTAAAGTTGTGTCACCCACTCCCTTGTAGTGCCTTGTTTATTAGAAACTTGAGAATCGAGGCCAACAGCAGAGAAACAGTCATTTAAGAACCCTCTGAACACAGGCCTTATCAGAAACAATACACCATTCTACTGTGATCATCCCAAACCTCTGCAAAAATGAAGGCTGTAGCCTCTTGGACTATTACAGCTGAACACTGCTGTATTTTTTAAAAATTATGTAAGAGTGTCTCAGTGCCAAAGACAGACAAAATGTGGGTTGGAAGCGTGTGTAAGAAAAAAAAAAAACAAACCACAAAACAAACCAAAAGGAAAACACATTGCTAAAATGTCCACCTTTGATTGTTTACCTGAAAGAGGAATATATTTAAAAATGAAAAACAAGTCTTCAGAGAAGCTAACTATATAATTTGTTCCAGGAGAAAAATCTAAAATCTAGGGACGTAGTACAGAAGGTAATTTTCTTTTAAGTACATTTCAGCATCTTCTGAAGTGTTTTAAGTGCACATTTAGTTTGAAAAAAACCCCACCTACATTGATGTTCTGAATGGTCTTTAAAAAAAAAACCCAAATCACAACAAGCTAAGTGCAGTAATCTCTCTTTCTTCACTTTAAAGGTCACAGTCGTCCTCCTAGGCATTTAGATGCCTTAGGAAAAGGAATGAGTTTGCAAGACAAAAGAAAGCAAGTTAAAGGGCAAACTAAAGTTAATGATTTCCAAATATATTTTGATGCTGAATCTTTAAAATTAAGAGGTGGAAAGGAAAATTTTATTCAGCTATAATACACCCTTTTTGAACAAAGGTCCTGAAGATTTTGACACACAGTCACTATTCTATCAAATTATACAGACTGGATGGTTGAACACCGACTATTTTAGAAACAGGAGCAGCTCCATAGACTCTGTTTATTTATTTGCTTAAAGGAACTGTGAGCAGGCAGTATTACAAAAGCTACTTTAAAAACATCCATATCCTGAAAGTTTCTCCCAAAATTCTGACACAGCTTTCCACGATTAGGAAAAAAATCCAAGTGGAGCATCACTTCACAAAACATTTCCATGTGAGCTGAATTTTATCCTGAGAAATCATTTCAAATCCTTCCTCACACCAAAAAAAAAAGTTAAAAAGGTTAAAACATTATTTCCTAAAATAAATCTAAGTTTAGTGTGTCATTCCATTGTATTTTGGAAACAAGACCCATTTAAAGGAACACTTTATTAACACCTATTCTTCTTGATTTCAACTATTTCTGTAGTTTTGATCACTGTGTTATTTACAAGTAATTTTAAAAATTATCAAAACTCTTGGCATTTCAAACTGTGTTTGTTATCTCAATCAAACCAGTTCTAGTTCTTTACACGGTGTATCAGCATATCCTTATGATGGATACTTACCTAGGAAGAGGTCTGTGCATAAGAGGAGAGTGGGCTGATCTCCTCCACACAAAAAACTGGGCCTGAATAGTCAGGTAATAACACAGGGACTGAACAAGAACCAGGAGAAAAAAACAGAGGGAGACTCAGCCAGTTAAAAGGTATCAAACTTCTTCATTGGAGGACATTCCAAAATTCAGGTCCCCATCCCCACAGAAAAGGGTGAAAACTTCAGGGATCAACATCATTCTGGGAACCAAAGACAGGCCTGGATGCCATAAAACATCCCATACACTGTTTACATTGTCATTTACATTTAACAAGCTGTTCTCAAGAACAACACAGTGCTCAACTTCAGGATCCAAAGAGAAGAAGGGAGTTAATTCCAGAGCTCCAGAGTTTGCCACTTATCAGGCTGAATTACTGGCTACTAGAAAAACAACAGCACCATTGAAGATCTGGGTAACAGACTCAGATCCATAAAGCACGAATATCTTAATGTGTGGAAGAATTTGTTGTAGAGTAGGGACAAATCCAGCATTCAAAATCACCTTTGCACAGGAAAAAAGTAGGTATAGGAAAGAATATGCTCTAATGCATCTGGTTTTTGTAAATCTGCTTTAGTGACTCACGAGTGGAGGGATGCACTATTACTACTATCTTTAAAGAGTTCCCAAGAAACTTGGATAGACAGACCCCCGCACAACTCATGGCATGAATGATCTCCTTTCTCCTAATCACATCATGGTCAGACAAGAAAAAGGATTCAGAAGTGACAGTAACATTTGTTTCATAAATGTTGTTTAAAAAAAATGGGGGAAAATGGAACTTATGTTAGATTTAGAAATTAATTTAGTTTTATACATTACAAAATAAAAAAAATACAGGCTGTTTGGAAAATTTCTTGCTGAAGGATCTTAAGAAAAGGCAAGATCACTATTGAGCCAACTTCCCTATTAGATCTTTTTCTTGAATACATAACTATCAGAAAACTCTGGTAAGTCTGATGGCATTCTAAGGGTTCCTGGTCCTTGGCAAAGCAGGAACTTGCATCCAGGGAGATAC